GGGTGTTGCGCCGCGTAGCGCCGGCTCCAGCAGGGACGAGCAGAACCAGGAGGGCAGCCCAAGCCCTCGGCCCCTCGCCAGAGACTGCAACAACGCAGGGCCAAGCTGTAAATCAGAGCCGCAGAGCTTGATTTACAGCTTGGGAACATCATCTGTCTGTCCAGCTGCGGCTCTCCTCCACTACACCTTAATGCTACCATGCTGGAAAAGCAGCCTCTTAACTAAAAATAGCAATATTCACCATCACATCTATTAAGTTCCACTTAATTACATCAGTCTGCCCAGTAGATGATTTCCCCAGCAGCCCAAGAAATAGACCTCAAACATCTGAAATTGTCCTGGGGGTAAAAAAAAAAAAAAAAAAAAAGCATTTGGATCATCTGTTGGATGGAACCAAACTAATAAAGGATGTTTGTCCACTTGCCCATTTTTATAAAGCGCCCATTTTTACGCCACATTCACAATATCTCTACTGTTTCCAAATTCGGAGTTAGACTGCAAGTTAAATACTCACACATCTCGTGAGCATCTCTGCAGCCAGACATCCCGACCCACCGCTTGGAGTGGCTGTAGGAATGTTCTACACTCTGCCTGGGGAAAAATATCACAAGAATGGGTTGTGGTGGGCTAGTCGACCTTACTTTTTGCATCCTACACTATATCCTTAATCAAAAGCAGAGCCAGCAAATCAGTTTGGAGAAACAGAGGCCCCAGCTGAGGATTTTCAGCATGATTTCCAGATAAAAAGAGGGTCAGAAAAAAATTGCCGGGGGGGGAGGGGGGATCTGAGCACACCAGGCTCTCCCTTGGCCAGCCATGAGGAGCCTCAAAGGTTTTTGTTTCCATCTGAAGGTGCCCCATCTCCTGCTCACGGTTTAACCAGGATAAAAACCAGACTGCGTTCCCACTGCCCTTCCCCACGAGGACTGGGCAGCACTGAGCATCCAGCCGGGCACGATGCAGGGGCATCTTTTTTGGGGCATTTGCTGTGTGGTTTTTGAGGCATTGTTTGTTCCATAAAGTTTCACCTCTGAGGCATGTCCATGTATCGCTGCGTCGGTCCCTTCCCTCATTTCTCCTGTTGGGATGTGGTGTGGTCTCGTGGTTTGCAGAGGTCCAGCTCCCCTCTTGGTTCCCGGGCAGTCCGTGGTTCAGCCTGGAGGGCAATCCCACACACGAGCAGGGGAGATGGCAGCCCACAGGCAGCATAGACAGGGTCGTCCCCCAAAAACCCAGGTGACATAGTGGGGACATGGGGACGAGCAGGGCTGGCACCTGGGGTTGGGGGCACCACGGTTTTGGGTACCAAACCTGCATCTGACACCTTCCTGGGCTCTCAGTTCACTCCAGATTTTAATCAGGTGCCACTTCCTTATTCAGCTCAGTAAATAGGAGCAGATCTTCCCCGCTCAAGCTCCTGCCAGGCTGACCCAGGGAAGGGACGCTCGTACAACCAGAGCATCACGTGAAAAACACAGTCTGCCCCGGAGCACGCACCCCGCGATTGCTCTGAAAAGCTGTAGCGCATCAAGAATATATTCAGCTCAGGAATTTTCTGCCCAGAGAGGTCCATGCAAAATTGACTATTTGCTGTGAAATGCAGGAACTGGCTGTTTTCGGCAGGGGAGATGTCTGGGTGGCAGCTCAGTATCCAGCCGTGCCCAGCAGCCCAGCTCCAGGGATGCCACACGTGGGATTGTCCCAGCCCCTAGCAGGTGTTTCCACCCAGATTATTGCCCTTCCAGAGCGAGCAGCAGGCAGGGCAGAGGTGGGTTTGGACACCTCCACAGCTTCTCTCATTTTTGGGCATCAGACGGGCCAATCTGCCCCCACAGAGCTCACAAGGAATCACATCACTCACCTAAGTGCCAATCACAACATTTATTTTTTGTTATTGTTTCTACAAACCATAATTTTATCTTTAGGAATATTTCACAAAGACACAGAGAGGAGCCCGGGGATGCACTTGCTCACTCACACCACCTGCGTACCAGCTGCCTGGGTCTCGGTTTTTAACCACAGACACTTTGTGCACCATTTCTTTATGCCTCACTCACACAGAACCCAGGCTAAGCACTGCGTCCAGAGGAGCAGGGTCTCCTACGGCCACTGAACTCCCTTGCCCTGGAGCATTTTTAAATTCCTCTCCATGAACTGCCAGGTTCAGCCTGTGCAATTCAAGGACCTCAGTTTAACTCAAAGAACGCCAATTTTTGAGCAATATCCATTTAGTAACTTGAAAGATCAAAGCCTGCTTTCTCCTCATCCCAAGTTTCCAAGGCAGTTACTGGTTTATGCTTTGTTTTTATGGCTGCAAGAGACCCAGTCAGATTATTTCAAGTGCTGCATGATGCAATAGCCTGGGAGTTGCTCAAGCCTGCCCACGTAATGGTCCTGGCTTTCTGTAAGCTTCCTGGCAATACAAGACAGCCAGCAATTTATGCAAAAGTGTTAGGTTTTTTCCCCCCCACTGAGCCAGCTTGAAACATTGCGAGCTCTCCAGGGAGACTTTCAAAGCTATTCCCCAAAGGAGCTCAGGGATTCAGACATCCTGCAAGGCCAGCTTGGCCGATTCCTTTGCGATGCTTTAAAAAAAAAAAAATAAAAAATAAAATCTCACCCTGCAGTAGGGACCAAACGGGCAGGACGGATGCTGGGTGGGACGAGCAGCAAAATCCTCTGCGCTGGGAAACTCGCTCCCAGGCGAGGGGCTGCAGGGACCCCCTTGGCCCCCATCCGCGGCTCCGGCACGAGGCTTGGAGTTGTTGTTCTCCCCTTTGCTCTTCCGCCGCGGTTCGTCACCCTCCACGTGCGCCGCCGCCGCCCTCGCCTTGGGTATCTTGTATTTGCTCTTCTGGCTGTAGAGGAGGTTTTTCTGGAAGAGTCGTGGGATGTTGCCTTGGTACAGCAAGAGGGCAGCGAGCATCCCTGAAACGAGAGCACAGACCCTTCCCGCGTGCTGCATCGAGCATCTCCATCCTCCCCACGGCAGAGCAATGATTTTTCAGGCCCTTCCCACAACCTTCACCATAACCAAAAAGTAGCCCATCACCACCAAAGTCCCCACTGACAGTAACCAAAAGACTCTTGCTATATTACTTTAAGGAGAATTTAACCATTGTGTCCTTAATATCCTAGCGAGGCTTGTTTTGCCATAAACCACGTAGAAATTGGATTAAAAATACAGACAGCAAAGGGATGACTCGAGCAACAGGGAAGGGTGACAGAAAAGGACGCTCGGCAAGACCCAAGTTCAGCCCTTTGCCTTTGTACTATCACAGTTTGAGTTACGCGCAGTTATTTCTGCCTTGCCCGCTGCCCCCCACGCCAAGCCCTGCCCCCCCCGGTACCTCCCGGGCAGATCTCACCTGCGAGGGGCCCCAGCCAGTAAACCTGGACGTAGTCCCAAAAGCTGCTCCCCGAGCAGCGGAAGGTGGCGGCTGTGGCCAGGGCAGGGTTGAAGAAGGCCCCCGTGAACGGCCCGGCTGCGTGGGAAGAGAAGCACCGCCATCAGTCTCGCTTGCAGCCTTTGAAAGACCGACAAAGAGCTGGACCAGGAGACCCTCAACCCCTCCTGCCTTCCAGGAGCATCCCTGTGTCCCAGCTCCGGCAGCTGCATCTCTTGGACTGCGTAACAGCAGCACACGGGGAAATCCCACGCCTGTCGCCCCGAGCTCTGCAGGAAGCAGAAGAGCTCAGCGCGGGATGGAGGGGTTGCGTTAGGGCACGTTCCAGGATGGAGCTCTCAGTCTTGGGGCAAGCTACGGCTTCTCATGGGCCGACATTTCACCTGCTGCCTAGATATCCTAAACTGCCGCCTTCATCCCAAAATGAGTATTCCCCAAAAGAAGCAGAAAACAAACATCTTGGTAATCATTATCTCTCAAGTCCTAGAGGATGAAAAAGGGACTGTCCCTCCCCCATATATTAGGTATTTTTCTAAATGAGTTAGAAGAAGGCAGGTGCTGCTCACCTGTGTAGGTCAGGAAGGTGACGGTCGCTGCCAGGGCAGGGACCCGGCACGTCGGGTGACTCTGGCGCAACTTATAAAGGACAAGGTGGAAAAGGAAAGAGCAGGTGCCTTCCACAAAGGCAGCGTGGTGCAGAGAGGTGCGGATGGAGGAGCTGCACTCTGACGCTATCAGGTTCTGGATGAGGTGGAAATGCGTCAGCTCCCAGGACCAGTAGAGCTTGGTGACAGCCCAGCCCGTCCCAGCGCCCGCGCCCTGGGCCAGCAGCTTGGCAGCAGTTGCGGTGAGGTTGGACTCAAGGAGCAGGAACTCCTGGAGAGAGACGGTCGGGTTGGCGGATGCTCCATCGAAAGAGGCGCCATGAACCACGAAGAGGAGGAAGAGCAGAGTCAGGACCACGTCAGGGCCAAAGCCACCACCCCACGGGCCGATCTCCACCAGCATCCGCAGCTCAAGGCAGCTTGTGCACAACTGTAACGAGCCCGCAAGTTCTCTGGCAAGGCAGCCGTACGCTCCAGGAGACAGAAACCTCTTGGAAATCCACCTGAGCGCCTGGCACACCCCGACGACCAGGAAAAAAAAAGCAATGGAGACATTCAGGCCAGCCATAGCAAAGGCTGCGCTTGTGGGGGGGGGGATAGACTGGAAGGAGCAGAGAAACCTTCTGCGCCTCCTCTTTATAAACCCATGCGTAAGCGAACGTGGCGCAGCCCGACAGGCTTGGGAAACGCCGCACGTGCTGCCCTCTCCTCTGCAGGGTGATGCCTGCTGCCACGGGGAGCCGGTGGACTCGCCCACAGCTGGCTCAGCCGACAAGTTGCTTGTCCCAGCAAGCAGGTCCTGGTGTTATGAGCCTCCAGCCCCCGGCATTCATAGCCGAGAGCCCGCGGCCGCTCCCCAGAGCTGCTCGGGTCTTGCAGAAGGAGCAAAAAAAGCTTCATTTTATTTCTACCTGGCACCACAAAACGCAACCTACTGCCCCGATCCCAAAGGCTGGGACACGAGGGGACCCTTAGAGAGGCAGCAACCCATGGAGAGAGTTCACGTTTCTGGAGGGCAGAGCCACTCTAAGCTACAGCAAAGTCCCTCTTTGGCCAATTTGAAAGCCCAGTTTGCTTACTGCTTCCTATCCTTGTCTTGAGTAAGACCTCACCTCGTTTGGTGGTGGTGGTGGCACTAATTGCACATGCCATTGGTCTGCAGGTGTCATTCTAGCGACAGGGACATTTCAGCTCCTCCTGCCGGTAACGCGTATTGGGCACAGCTTTCCCAAAACCCCCCTCCAAAGCCCACACCATCTAAACACATAAATACATTTGGGTTACACCTTAGAATACACGATGGAGTCGACGGCAAATGTAGGTGACAATGTACACCGCGTTTGCTCCAGCAGTTGCATCCCCTGCACCAGCTCCCAAGTCACTGGGGACCCCCCCGGACTCCCACGGCTGGGGTCTGCGGGAAGGAAAGGGACGGTGAGCGATGGAAAAGCACAGGAGCGGCACAGGCCACGGCAGGAAGGGGGGCACGGAGCGTATAATGTCATATTATCAGGGACTCACAGTTAACAGAGCATAAACAATTCATTATCTGTCTCCTGGGTCGCTTACCTGCTCTGCGGCAGGAATTACACCACCCTGAGCCCGCGTTTCCCATCCCGAAAAAAAGCATCCCCTTCATCACTGGCATGCCGCAGGGTTAAACGTGCCCAGGGAGTGCCATAGAACGCCATTTTATTCCCACCACCCACCACCCCAGTCATTCATGAGCTGGAAATGAGACATTTCCCAAGCAAGGAGAGGGACCACGTTGCAAACAGCCCATCGTCCAAGCCCTCCCCTCCTGCCCACCAGAACTGCCCTGGGTTTGGCTGGCCTGCCTCAAAACATACCACAATTTGACCATTTTTAACCAATTTCTCTCTCTCAAAGACAGGGTAAGTGTGCATCTTTCACCTCAAATCAGCAAACAATCTTGCCGGAATACAGGAAGATGAAACTTGCTTTAAGAGACTCATAAAATTAATATTTTTGGCCTCGTGAAAATTTACCGCTGGCAGTGGCAAAGTGCTGGTCAAAGCAGAACAGACCACCAAAACCCCCCCCCAAAATTACCATCACAATCCAACTCGTTTTTTTCTGTCTTCCCTACTTTTGTGTTTCTCGAAAGCAGAGAAACCAGCAGAGTTTTACCTTCAGAAACGAAACCTTACACGGACGCAGCCACACCAGCCCTGGAAGAGACACAGCAGAGGGGCGGGCGGGCTTGCACGAGGGATGCCACACATCTCCCCGCGCCACGTCTCAATCCCTCCGTCTCAGCCGTTGAGCAGAGTCCATCCAAATCAACAACAACAAAAAAAAAACCCAACAAAAAAAAGGGGTTAACGCGTGTCCCTTACACTAATATTTCTAGCTACTCTTGCAAGAGAAAGCTGCCACGTGCCGATGCCTAAAAAGCAAATGCGTTCTCGTCCCCTTCCTCCCAACACAGCTGTGACACAGAAAACATCGTAAAACTGGAAAACCTCCCAACATCTCTGCCTTCCCACAGGAACTGATTTTTCCCTTCTCCTTTTCAAGCATTTTAGAAGTTGGCCTTTAGGTTTTTTTAAAGACCCCTGAACATTTACGTCCTTTTTCCCGTCCATCACCTGTAATCATGCCCACGGCACATCCTGCAATTGTGGGACATTTCACCCAGGCTGGAGAGAGGAGCTGGAAGCTGTTGCTTATGAGGATAATTATGGGATAAAATAAGGCCAGTGAGAGATACGCAAGCGGCTCGTTTCCCATCTCGTGGTAGTGCTGGCAGCAGAAGGGGACACGCTGCGGGCTCGGTGCTTTGGGAGCAAGCAAAGGCAAAACCCCTTCAGGAGCCCACGCCGCTCCGTACGACTGCTTTTCTAGAAACAAAACTGTCTAAAAATTCAAATACTCCTGCAAAAAAACACTTTTCCTTCGGTTGGAACATCAGTGTCTTTTCTAAACCAAATTTGCTTTGGGCTCTCAAGAACAACAACAGCCTGAAACGCAGATATTTTAAAATGGGCATTTTTTAGCCATGGGATAGGAACAAGCTGGCATTTCCACAGTTAAATAAAATAAACACTCTCCAAAACCACTGAAGGGTAACAAAAGCTGAACAGAACCACCCTGGTTCCCCCTCGCCACACTATTTTCCCCCACAAAGAGGTAATAGCCCCAACTGAATACAGTTGTAAGGTTATTTAAGGAGAGTTTTACCAGGCGGAGGGGTGAATAAGAGCTTTCCAAGAGCCTCCTGTTATCAGCTGCTGCGACGAGGCAGCAGAAACCTGGCAGCAGGTTTCCTCCCACAGGCAGCCAGATGAAATGGGCTCAAGGAGACCCACGAGTTAATCGTGCTTTGTGAAAAGACCCGAATCCTTAGAATGAGCATTCGCTGGGGGCGGGGGGGAAAAATAACAAAGTTGGATCGTCCCTGGCTCTAGAAACCTTGAATTCAAGGGAGATGTTTGCCCCTAGCAATGTCACCAGCGAGGTCCATGCTCTTTTCCCAATCTATTTATCTATCCATCCTCCAGAGCATCCTGTGGAGATGCCCTGAGTCTCATCAGCATCCTCACCGTTGACTCGCAGTTATAACGAGCCAGATTCATTCTTCACAAGCCCTTCAGGAAACACCAGCAACTTGAATTTGTGCATTGAGACATACTGTCTCCTCTGCCAGTCCCATCCTCCTTTCTACCGACTCAATACCTCCAAAGCAGAAGTCTGGTGGCCTTTTACTGTCCTAAAAGAGAATGAGCAATCATTAACTTCCTGGTGGGCAAATCCCATTCAAATGGCAAAGAAAAAAATAAAAAAATCATCAGTCCCCACAGGTTGTTTCAATAATCAATAGGTAAATGGGATTTGAAATGAAGTTACGACATGCTGGAAGATATTCCCCCTGCAGACACTGGCTGGTGGACAGGAACGGGGACAAAGCAGCAGCAGCAGCATCGAGAAGCTGCATCAGCACTGCCCTCCTCACCCGTAACAGACTGCAGATAGAGAAAATACAGTCACTGTTCTCGCTTGTTGGTATTTTCTCCCTTAAGAAAAACAAATAAAAATCCTTGCTTAGGCTGGAGTTCAAAGTAGGGGGAAAAAGCTCTTGGAAAAACCTGCTTCCTCCACACATCTGGAGAGCAACATCAAGCATTTAGCTGAGCTCAGCAGTTTCACATACCTTTCCTCACATGACTGATGGTTACTTTTATTAAAAACAATCTTCAGAGCAAAATGCAAGTTATAAAAATAGAGGGAAATGCAGCTGTCCAAATCCCTGGGAGCAGGCACTGGCAGACACCCGCTGTGCTCGTACACCAGTCAGGCGAACTGCACTGAAACTCAATGTTTCTCTGTGAAAATGCTAATTAGAAATGAAGATCCTCCGTTTTTTCAGCCACCCTGGTTTTAACCAGCGTGTTGCTGGTGCAGTCTGAATAGTTGTGCTCAGCTCTGCGGTAAACTCGCTGCAACCGAACAGCAGCCCTGAAAGGGAGAAATCATTGCCCCCGACTTTACTGCCTTGAAGACTAATGTTTTAACTACCCAATCCTGAATAAATAGATCCAAAAAGATGGGGCTGCTCTTGGTTTTAGTCTAGGCCTATGCAAGGGATGAGCAAGTCCACACAAGACTTAATAGGATGTATCAAGCAAGGACTAGCAACTTCCAACTTGTGCAAACCACACTCAGGCAAAACCCTGCTCTCCTTCAGGCAGCGCAAGTCCCGATATCCAGATAATCAGCAAGTTCCACCAAGCACCTTCTCCCTCCTCTTGTCGACCTTCCACCCCCCCGCCCCCCCATAAATTAAATGCAAAATCACTTAAATGCAGTGTTAGAGAACATCAGTTTAAATGCATAAAGGGTCAATTATATATAAAGACAAAGATACTACAACAAATTAACCTGAAGAGACAGTGCTTTGTGCAAAACAACATTCTCGTGTCTGGTTGAAAAGGCTTCTGAAGACGAGTGGTTTCTTCATTTCCCTTTGTCAGTGGTATGAGCAAAGCTTGTACAACATGCAAGAAAGGGGAACGGACGATTTCCCAATCACACATGGGAAACACACGACACGATGAGTCCTTGACATTCACAACCGAGGCAGAAACTTCATCTGGACTGGTCTCAACCCCGAAGTAAATTTGTTTAGATGTCCCGTTCTTTAGCTAGACTGCCACACCAACACGCCACAGCATTTTTTTTCATAGTTTCGATGAAAAACATGAGCAAGTCTCCACAGCCTACCAGAAGGCACCATCGACTCCATCCCAAGTCCTAGGCGAGCTGCTGACACCCAGCGTCCTCGCCCCGTTCGGCTCTGCCAGTCAAACGCTGACGGTGCGGAACCAAGAGCCACGTCTTCCAAGGAACCAGGACAGCTCGTTCCCCACGTTCCCTGTGCCGTAACGCTTATATGCGGGATACTGGATGATATTCACGGTGCAATAAAGCAGTCTTGTTCGGAATAGTTAGTGGAACATCGTCATATTGCCACGATTGCAGTTTACTGGCCCATCAGTCCCACCCCAGTGGCTACCAAAAGGCTACCTTACGGTGAATGGATGGTGG